CCCGTGCGCCCCCGCCCCGGCCCTCGGCCTCGCGCGTCCCCCTGCGCGTCCCCGACCCGACCCTCCGCTCGCGCACCTCCCCACCCGCCCCCGACCCAGTCCCCTGCCCGCGCGACTCCCACCCACACGCCCGCCCCACCCGGACCCGCGCGCGCCCGAACTGGCCCCCTGCCCCGGGCGCGCGGGCAGGCTGGAGAGGGGCGCTGCCCCGCCCGGTGGAGGGCGCAGGGAGCGGGCGGGGACCCCGGGCGCCCGCCCTCCCGCACCCCCCACCCCGCGCTCCCGCCCGCCGGGCTTCTCCCTTGCCGGGGCTGGCGTGGAAATAGGGGTCCAGACAGGTCGCCCCAGCCCCCCCTTTCCCGGGACTTAGATTTAAAGAGACAGGAACTGCGTAACGGGAAGGCGCCCAGCACCCAGGGCGCTCTCCTCCCCCTCCCGGGAGCCGCGAAGTGAAGCCTGGCAGAGCAGGCCCCGGGCGTTCTGGGGCGCCCCTCGGGTTTCCTCTCTCCCACCCTGCGCCTCGCCCCTGCCGCCTGGCTCCTATCTGCGACACCTGTCCTGGCTTGACTGGAGAGGCTCTTGGCAGACCACAGGTGGTTTTCTCTACGACAAATAATCCATCCTTCTTCCTTACGGGCAATTTTATGTCCACATGTGGGAGGAAGGGAGGAGAAAACATGTAGGTGGTGAATGTCCGCGCCCCATAAATTAACAGAAAGTCCGGCGACACGAACATGTCTTGGAGTAAAGACACCCAAATGCTGCTCCTTCCCTGCGCCCTGACCAACAGGTAGCCCCCAACTCCGGGAGCGGTTGTACTTTGGGGAGCAAAGTGGAATCGTCACTAGGGCGTTACTAGGTCTTTCTCCATACATACTCCCCCCTCCCCCCACACACACACCCCATCCCCCCATGTGATGGTGTCTGATTCCTGGTCTGAGTATCCTGGGACCAATTTAAAATGCATTTCCTGGACCATAAATCCGCAGGCAGGAGCCAGGTTCTCAGCTCTCCGGGAACATGTTTGGCAAATGGCAGCAGCAGAGTGCCACTGGGGGAGGGGGGAGATTGCACAGGGTCCGGGCTAATTGCAGTGCCAGCCCGAGACTCCTCCCGCAGGGAGACAGGAATTGCAAGACCGGCAGTAGAGCCTGAGATTTAGCCCAGGGAAGAGGTGTGATCTGAAGTCTCCCAATCAACCAGGGGCCGAGCTCACACCTTCTCCTGCATTGTTCCCATCTTTGGCTGAACGGGCTCTCACGGGAATATCAGCCCCTCTAGGACGCCCAGAGTTCAAGCTCAACTTTCTGTCTTGCTCTGGGCACCAAAGCCCCCTCCCTAAAGCTCCACTGGCCTGGAGAGCAGTTACCACCTTTACCACCCCGCCTGTGGAGGGAATTTTAGGGAATTTTCAGTTTTGCTTTGTGATTGGCAATATTCAAGGCGCCTTCTAGTTGGTGTCTGCCTCCCTGTGCTACCTGGAAGGTTTCTCTAAATGCCTAGGGGTGGAATTGTTGGGTCAAGCACATCTTGGATTTAACAGAGATTAGAGCACTTTCCTTCTCCTCCTGCAGTGCCCCATCCTTCTGGCTCTCTGTGTTCTGGCCACCCCTTGGTATTATCAGACTTCCTACTATGTTTCCATTTATTTTCTTTTGTTAATCTAGATGGGTAGGAAATAGTGTCTCAGGACTGTTTGGTGTAAAGGAAAAATTATATATTGTGAATGTGTGCACAAACCTGCCACTCCTCACAAGATTCAGGCTCAAATCCTGCCTCCAGACCTGGCCAGCTGTGTGGTGTGGGCAGTCACTTACTACCTCTGAGCTCAGTTTTCTCATCTGCAAAATGGGCAGATACTAGTTCCCATAAATTGCCATGGGGATTCAAGGAGCTGACATCCGGGGCATGGTAAGCACTGGAGAAGGGGAAACAGTGGTGTTATCAGGAGTCCAGCCCCTCCTTGAAGGTCGTGGATTCCTACAGGGGATGCCCGACTTATGGCCTGCTCCCCCCAAACCTCACTGACATAAAATTGCCATTACCTTTACACTCTGCTCTTCCTTTCTTCATTTCAGTTCCTACCCAGTTTTTGCTGATTCAGCAGCCCTTCCTCACACAAGTAGTGGATCACAACCGAGATCTTGTTGGAAAATGAGGACTTGAGGTTTCCAGCAATTTCTGGTCAGCACTCTGGCTAATACACACCTTCCCCCGGCAGTTCCAAGGAACCCCTCCTCTAACCTCCGCCAGCTGACCCTCTCTCCTCTCCCACACATGGTCATATTAGCTTCAGCACTGATGGACTTTATCCTCCGAAATGCAGATATTAGAGACATTCATTTTGTGCCATTTGGAAATCATTCTCCCATCACATATGGCGGGTGGTATTGATTTCATTTTGGAGGAAATTCTGTAAGGCTACAAACACAGTACCACCCAGCAATGTCAAAACAGAAACCAGAATAAAAAAACAAAAAATCATAACACCATGCAGAACTTCATGGCTCTGGGCACCAGGCTCTGGGATGAATGCCTCACCTCAGGGACCTCACTGGCACTCCTCAGCTGACCTGCGCTTCCATACTCACCTGTCAGAAAGACCAGCTTGAGGGCTGCCTCTGTGAAGTGCCCGGCAGAAGGGAACGGAACGACGAACGAAGCAGGACTGCCGCCCAAGCTGACTGGTCTTCCAGGCTAGAAGCTTTCTGGCCTCTGCGCATGGGCACTGCCTCTCCCTTGTCTGCTCCCTCTCCCCGTGGCCCAGAAGTTTTCTGGTCTCGGCTGCAGAAAGGCTCCTGGGTTCCCCAGAGAAGGGATACCTCTACCCCTCTGCTGAGTTTTGGACACTCCTCCTGCTGCTGAGTTTCGCCCAAGTGACGCAATGTGACTCTGAAGGTCAGGTAAATCGCAATATGACCTCTGCTCGTGCTCTCAGATGCTGGCGCTTGGAACCGAGTCACCATGCTGTGGGGAAGCCCAAGCAGCCCACAGAGAGGCACACGGGGGGAGAAACGGGGCTTCTGGCCCACATCCCCAGCTGGACCCCCAGCAGCTCAAAAGTAGATCCTCAAGCTCTGGGCGGGTCACCCCAGCTATTGCCCCATGGAGCAGAGACCCCACCCATGGAGCTTTCCTCACCATGCCTTGTCATGGTTTCAATTTTTAAAAAATGGAGGTATAATGCCATACAATAACATATTAGTTTCCAGTGTGCAACATAATGGGTTGATCTATGTGTGCATTGCAAAATGGTCAACACCGTAAGTCTAGGTAACACCCATCACCACACATAGTGACACAATGTGTTTCTTACGATGAGAACTTTTCAGATCTATTCTCTTGGCAACTTTCAGATAGGCACTGCAGTATGAGTCACTACAGTCGCCATGCTGTTCATTAGATCTCTGTGACCTGTTTATTTTATAGCGGGAAGTTTGTACCTTTTGACCCCCTTCACTCATTCAGCCCACCCCCCACTTCACACCTGTGGCAACCACCAATCTGTTCTTTAGATCTATGAGCTTTGTTTTGTTTTCTTTAGATTCCACATGTAAGTGAGATCATATGGTATTTGTCTTTCTCTGTCAGACTTATTTCACTTAGCATAATGCCCCCAAGGTCCATCCCTGTTATTGCAAATGGTGAGATTTATTTTTTTATGGCTTAATAATATTCCACTATATATATATATATAGACACACACACATATATATAATATATGCCACATTTTATTCATCCATTCATCCATCAATGGATACTGGTTTCCATCATAATTTCAATTTCTGAACAAAATAAAGGACTGCTGTTATGTTAAGCCAGGCAGAGCTCATGCAAACTACTAAGCCAGGGGCCAAACGCTTGTTTTTAGGGACAAAGTTTGACTGGGACAACCGTGCCGCCCATGTACACACAGCCACGGACGCTTTCACACTACAGTGTCAGGGTTGAGGAGTTTTGACAGAAACCACATGGCCCACAAAGCCTATACTACTCACCATTTGTCCTTTACAGAGAAAGTGTGCCAAGCCCTGTGTCTTAGTCTGCTCAGGCTACCGAAACAAAATACCAAAGACTGAGTGCCTTCCATCATGGGAATTTATTTCTCACAATACTGGAGGCTGGAAATCGAGCTCAGAGTGCCAACAAGGTCAAGTTTTGGGGAGGGCCGTGTTCTTTCTCACCGTGTCCTCGCATGGCGGGGGGGTTGGGGGGTGGGGTGGGGAGGGAGAGAATGAGAAAACCCTCTGGTGACTCTTCTTATAAGGACACTAATCCAGTGGGATCAGGGTCCCACCCTTATGATTTCATTTAATTTTAATTACTTCCTTACCCCAAATACAGCCATACTGGAGATTAGGGCTTTAATATATGAACTGAAGGACACCAACATTTAGTCCATAACACCCGTTTTAAGCCACTAGGTTTTGGGGTGGTTTGTTACAGAGCAGTAGCAACCAGAACAGACCATATGCTTCATGAGGATGGCTCCATGTCCCTTTCTCTTCACCTGTAAAATGTCACCAACACAATTCCTACTTCCGAAGGCT